AATGGTATGCAATACCGACAGGTTGTTAGGTAAGACACATATGCAACAGTTAGACAACTTTATTCCGAAACGTTTCGCCTACACAGTAGGCTTCTTCAGTCGAATACAGAAAGTAGGCAGGAACAGTAGAGATGTGAAGACGATGTAATCAGTCCATCACCCTTGTAGTCGTAGAATTTGAGGTTGTCAGTCCCTCGGCCTGGAGAAGTTCAGTTCCATAGTCAGGAACTATCTGATGGAACTGAACTTCTCCAGGCCGAGGGACTGACAACCTCAAATTCTACGACTACAAGGGTGATGGACTGATTACATCGTCTTCACATCTCTACTGTTCCTGCCTACTTTCTGTATTCGACTGAAGAAGCCTACTGTGTAGGCGAAACGTTTCGGAATAAAGTTGTCTAACTGTTGCATATGTGTCTTACCTAACAGAAAACGATGTATTTGTTTTTGCTAGCAACACAGTGCAACCATAGTTGAATACCAAGGACTAATAGATGAGGGGAATCAAATTGTTTAATGGCTTGTAAAGCACTGAGAAAATCTGAAATGATCACAAACATTGAAGGAGACATGTATATAATACGAAGAAGCACTATGAGGATGGCATACAAGTTGGCAGTAAAAATACTGGCCGAGTCTAACAAGTGACCTCGGACATCATCATCAGGAAATACTGCTGTGAACCCAACACCATCAGAAGATTTAGAACCATCTGTATAAACAGCAGTAGCATGAGCATATGACCGGAAGTACTCGAAAAAACAGAGCGAGAAGCAGCCGTAGGCTTTGGCGGTGGTGGGGGAGAACAGACACGAGCCATCGGAACTTCCTAAGGGGCAAGGGAAAAGGTAGATGCTAAATGAACATGCAAGGGAGGCAACTGGAGAGAAGATCGGAGTGAGTGAAGACGAAGAGAAAATGATCAGAGTAGGCAGGGGCACCGAACAAACAATGGGCTTCTACTGATGTCCGAGACTAACCTATACATAAAAGAAACACTAAGATCATGAGCGCGGACAAAATAACGAAGACAATTAGCATCACGGCGATCAGCTAAGGAAGGAACATTTCTGCATAGAGGCTTTCAAGAGGGCATGAATGAAAGGCACCAAGGCATAAACGGTGACCTTGATGATGAAGGGGATCCAATTTAGAAAGAGTTGTAGGAGAAGCTGCAGAATAGACTTGGTCGTCATAATCCAGCTTGGACAAGACTAGGGTGGAATGGAAACGGAGGAGAGTTCAGCGATCTGCTCCCCCTGAATGATGCACAAGAATTTTAAGGACATTCAGCCGACCATGGCAAGTTGCCTTCAAAGAAATGTAATATTTCCATGTCAACCGTTGATCGAAGAGGAGGCCAAGAAACTTGACCGTATCACATTCTGGAATACGTAAGCTGTGTCAATACAAGCAGTAGCAACAGAAGTAGGAAGAGGTGCAGAGGTAGAAGTTTCAGAGGATAAAACCGCAAAAGAATTAGAAATGGGTGACCTTGGAAGACATGGTCGCAGAGGTGGTTGTAGGCAGGAGGACCATGAAGGTTGGAGGTCTTTGGGCTACCGAGAATAAGGAACATGAGGAAGTCTTCCCTGAAGGCGGAGCTGGGAGACAGCCACAGAATAAGGCCTTCACTCTCCTTAAGATAACGGATTTCTCATTCATTACGACAGACTTGACAACGGCGTGAAAAAAAGGATCAGATTCATTGCAATTGAGACAAGAGGGGGGAAGACTGCAAGATGTATTGGTGATCGGCTGCACTGCAGACCATGCACTCCGTCGCAGATCTGCAGTATTTACCTGGGTGGCCGAAGCGCCAGAAATTACGACACTGTTGGGGAGTAGGGACTACTTTATGGACCTCTAGGTGCTGGCCTGCAATATAAACGGAGAACCGGAGTTCACTGCAGTCGAAGGTTAAGCAGGCGATGTTACTGGGAAAAGCGCCTCTGGCCACGAGCAGGCAGGATGTATCCACTTCGAGAATGGGAAGGTCCTGAAGGGCTAAATGCTCTAGAATATCATAGCCGCAAGACAGAAAATCACTCTGTACAATGGTACGCGGTAAAACCACAGTACCACTGCAAGAATTGAGAGTAGGGTGCTTATAAACTGTGACTGGAATGTTATCTATGGAAGTTATATGGGAGAGAGCATGAGCTTGTTCTGAATTCTGAACTGTAATGACACGCATGCCATTTTGAAGAGCACATAAAGACATATTTAGGCCAACATGTCATACAAGAGCTTTACCAATACCATGATCAGAAAGATAATAAATTGGAGATGTCGGTTGTAGGGAAAAGAATTTAGTCCACTGTGTACTTGTAAACATGGTGCACAAAGGGAGTGGGTGTTGCGTAGGTCGTTTCTGGGCAGACATCGAAGAACCATCATCAGTAGGTTGTCTAGAATGTTTAGGAGTACTGCTGGCAGTCTGACCTGAGGGAGGCGGGCGATTCAAAAACCGTTGCACAGTATTTGGGGAAGCCGAATGCATTGTTAAAGGCATGTGAGAAGAAGCGGTATTAACAGAAACAGGTGGCGCCCGAGCACTTGGAGCAAGTGACAGAGCATCACCAGCATGAGGTACAGGGCTACAAGAAGTCTAGAGAATGGTTCAATAACGAAGCCGAGTCAGAACAGGATGTGGGATCGGAAAGGGGCCTGGGAGGAGGGAGGTTATCACAGAACAAAGACTCCATCATAGTGGTGCTTCTTTCTTGTTATTTTAAAGAAAAAAGAAAGAAAGAAAAAAAAAGAGGAACAGTGAAGGAACAGTCACTAGAAGGCATGGAAGGGCCTAAGTTCGTCCCCTCATCCAAGAGGGCCTCGAGCCCACAAGCAGTGCAAATGCAGTGTGGAACCCGTGCCATACCATACCCTTCATGCCAGTAAACCAGCGCTCCAGGATACTGAGCCACCTCTGCAGGCCGTCACCTGTTACCAGGCAGCCTCTGGAGATACACCCATCATCTGCAGGGCACCCCGCCCACTTCTCGGGAGCAGGACACCTCCAGACAATTCAGATTCCATGGCTAACTACACCTCCCCCGAGGGACTCCATGGAGTGGGACGAACCCCAGCACAGTACCCCCCTACCTAGAAACCATAATGCCGCGGGGAGGACCCCAGAGACTACAAACAGGAAGGGGAGAGGGGAGGGCTGGGAGGAGGGAGGAAGGGGGAAAAGGGGGGTATGGGATAGGGAAGGGAGGACTGGCGGTTAATTACGTTCGCTGGGAGGAAGAAGATCAAAAGGTCCAATTCCTCAGACCGATAGCCTCTTTACCATGACAAGGAGTCCCCCTTAAAGAGGTGTGCTATGTCATAAAATTTGTAATTTGGCATCTTATCACTCATTCAAAGACATTTATAATGCTAAATTTTATGGTTACCGGTCTGTAATTTTTGGCTAGTGCTCTACTGCCTCCTCTGTGCAAAGGAACCATGTCTGCACTCTTTAATACGTTTGCAATTTTACCTTCATCTAAACTCTTTTTTTTTCAAAGGACACCGAGTGCTGGTGCTAGTGGTATTTTGCATTTCTTCATAAATAATCTCATGAAGGCAGTCCAGGTTCTGCATGAGTGGGCATGTTTTCTGGTTATTTTTCAAATTCTTCAGGGGTAATGAAAAATTTTCTGCGGTCTCTATGGTTTTCGTTTAGTGCAGTGATTGCCAAAGGGTGCAGCGAGAGAGGATGGAAAGTGTGGCAGGAAGATTCAAGAACAAAGAAACATTTAAACATCTCAGCAATACAGAGAAAAGATTCTCTGTATTGCCGAGATGAGAATCTCTCTCAAATCAGACCTAATATAAATGAGACTACCCAATAAATACAAGCTCACACCTCTCACTGAGTTTGTATACTGAAGGTTACACATGTAAAAGGCTCGTCTATATTTTGAGAGTGAATCATTTTTATATATAGCTGCATTGTTTTATACTTTCTGGATGTCCCATGATCATAATATAGAAGTTTTTTTTTGTTTGTTTTGTTTTTGAATGTATTTCTTATCAATAAAAAAACTCGATGTGGCGCGAGCAAATTTTTATTCCGAAAGTGCAGCCCAGAAAAAGAAGTTTGGGAACCACTGGTTTAATGGGCTGCTGAACAATGATTCATATATATATATATATATATATATATATATATATATATATATATATATATATATATATATATATATATATATATATATATATATATATATATTAAATTTCACTTATTTCGTTTTCATCATCAGTGTATGAATTTCCTATGTTTAACGATCCAATGTTACAGATGGTTCATAACCTGGATTTTACATGTTAAGAAATATTTTGGGCTTCTTGCTATATCCTGGACAGTTCTTTGTTTCCTCTGTACTTCTTCTGTCTGGTATTAAAGCTTGACGAATCCATGCCACGAAGAGTTTAGACTGTTCTGAGGGCAAAGGGTACCCACTACTCAGTGTGGTGTGCACCATTTTATTCTACGTTTATCACACACCCATTGTGGCATGCCCTCTCGACCAGTGAACTAACAGTTCTGGGGCCCCGCTGCTATACTTGTTACTAGCTCAAAACAGACAACCATGTGGGACCAAGGGAACTCATATTAGGTACACCCTTCTAGTACCCAGTATTAGAAGGGTGAAACTAATAAAGTGGACACAAGTGTTCTGCGTGTCTCCGGCTAGGTAAAGTATGGCAAATGAACGCCAACTTGGTAGGTAATTTTTTTTAAATTTCCTATAAGAATAACGAGAAATTTACTAGATCTCTCCGCAGATAATCAACAGGGTAATACTGGTGGAATGTATTTGGGTGAACTACAAGCCACGGTGCATCGGTAAACACTTTGTAACATTACATATATAAGCAGCACTCGTTAAAAGTGTGGCACACAAGTGTGTGCTGACGTCAAACACTTGTTACATTTACACAACCAAGCAATCAAGAATGTCGCACTCGAAAAAGAAATAACAGAAAACTGATTTATCTACTACCTTTCTTTGGCGTCTTGGGTGTGGCTGTGGTAGAGGCGGATGTGGTAGTCGACGAAGTAGTAGTAGTAGTAGTAGTAGCGGCAGTTGTGAAAGCGGTGGTGGTAGTGACAGAGGAAGATGCAGTGGTGGTAGTGGCAGTGGAAGCGGCGGTGGTGGTAGTGGCTGCGGAAGAAGTGGTGGTAGTAGCAGTGGAAGAAGCAGCGGTGGTAGTTATAGTGGTGGTGGCAGATGGAAGAGAGGTGTTAGAGGTTGGCAGGTCGAGTACTCTGGCGGGAACAGCTGTCACAGTCTGGTAACGAGAAGTTCCTTTCTTGCCCTTGCCTTCCTCGCCTTTCGTCACCACTACCTTCTTCAGCACCGCCGCTACTGGCGTCGGTAGCGCCCTGGTGTGCCCCTTGCTCTCTGAAGGAGCATCAGCGCAATCACCAGCCTTGTCTTTCTGTCCGCCACTACCACCAGCATCCTTAGAAGGAGTCACCAGCAGGCGTGGATCACTGTGGCGACGACGGAAGAGACGCATCCTTCCTTCCTGCCTGCCTCTCTATGACTTCCTTCCTCTGTAGGCTTCTTCCTTCCTAGTGCTCTCCTTCACACACCTGCCACACACCACTCACTGGCGCCACGCAACCTCATCATGGTTCCACACACTGTAAAGCAAAACAAATATTTGTTAACATATTAGATTATCATCACTGCGCAGACAAATATATTACATAATTCAAAGGGTGCATTACTTCTCAATATCGCCAGTTAAACAAGTAAAACTTATGTTAAACTAAGCACAAACAATATTAACAGCACAACGAGCAGTGTTAGTATTTCCACTTCCTCTCCTACTGTCAGCACTTTTTCCGTCTCCACCACAACAGTAACAAAGTAGACCAAGTACCAGCTCAACTTAAACATGTCCTTCCCCTCCCTATTTCTTTCTCTGTGCCTCCCCTTCCTTCCCTTTCCTTCCACAATAAACAACAGAGCAGCAGGTGCTCAGACACACACCTGTTACACCCCCGCCCCCTCTATGTACCATCTGTGCTCAATAGATATAATTCTCTCCCAAACAAATAAATTATATATATATATATATATATATATATATATATATATATATATATATATATATATATATATATATATACACACACACACACACCTATCCAAATTGGGTCGGCGCGCGTCAGGTGTTTAACCGTTGTGGGATCTGATAGTGAGGTGCTGGCCAGACCCCTTATATAGCTTCCTTGGATGCTTTACTTTCATAGTTCCTTGATAATGTGAGTAGTCACGAAAGCGCTTGGAATTTCTCTATTCTTTCAGAGTGGTTGTTTTGCATATATATATATATATATATATATATATATATATATATATATATATATATATATATATATATATATATATACACACACACATACATACATACATACATACATACACATACATACACATACATACATACACATACATACATACATACACATACATACATACATACATACACACACACACACACACACACACACACACACACACACACACACACACACACACACACACACACACACACACACACAGATAATATTAAGACTGAAATTAAGACACGTGCAACATCTGGTTATCTTTATTGTAGACGTTTCGCCATCCAGTGGCTTTATCAATACAAATTCCAGGACATAACTTGTGGAATCCCGCCTACCAGTGACTATGCCCTCGTCTGCTACACATCCCATTTCCACCTGACGTTAGTATATAAGCGTCAGGCGTCTTGCTTCTGCTTCAGAATCTCCACGACTACGGTGCTCTTCGCACCTACTCCAAGGTTGAGGGACTGATTACCTAATCTTCTGTACATAGTTGTACTATCTTCAAGTTATGTCCTGGAATTTGTATTGATAAAGCCACTGGATGGCGAAACGTCTACAATAAAGATACCCAGATGTTGCACATGTGTCAATTTCATCTTGTCAGTATTGTATACCATTCTTGTACAATATTAAGACTAGCAATTTCGTGCGTTTACATACATCTTCTGAGTTAACTCCTCCGAAGACGAGAGTGTAAAGCGGGAACTTGAAAAGCTACTAGTCAGTTTCAGATCATGCGAGCTATGGTAACAGAGTTTGACTACGTGTTGCTAGCACCAACAGCTTGACTGATCAGGCCATCAAACAGACATGGTCTGGGACCGGGACACTTGGACAACTCCCTGAATCAACAGGCAGGTGGACAGCAAATACTGTATTGCGATTGTACTGCAGTACATGTATATACATTATTAAACTCCCAATAAGGAAAGCTGTATATGTGAATGCAAAGAGAAATTGTAAGATTGTAACGCAGTCTTACATGACTTCTGATGTGGATCGTTTTCTCTTACTGTGCCTCATACACTCGCTCTTACTCACTGGTTTATTTTTCGAATCCCTCCGTATTCTTCAATTCTATCTGTATCTCTATCACGAATTATTTTTAGAGTGTAGATTATGGAGCTATGTTTAGAGTAGTGACTGCCCATACAGAGATGGTAAGAACCCATAACCATTTCAGAGACTTAGATTTTATGTAAAAGCATACATACGTCAGATGTATTTCGCCCTGGGCCAAGCATGTTTGATATTTGCCTAGTCAACTAGACTGTTGGTGTTGGCAGCTAGCTGGACACACGTCCAACACAGCCTGGTTCATTTGGCATTTGTGTTTATGTTGTTTCCATGGGTTACTGACCCCCGTGGAGCGGTTCCATAACAGACCTGGTTGCTGGCCTGAGTGACCCAACTGTTGGTGCTGGCCGTACCGCACGCAGTCCAACGTATGCACCACACACCAGCTGACTTGTACTTACCAAGATCCCTCTTGAAGACAGTAAAAATTTTGTCGGTTATTTCCCTTATGCACGTACGGAAGGCGTTGAAAGATACAGTACCTTTTACGAGTTCTTAGATACTGGTCGAGTTTCCTCTTGAAGAGGCTGTCTCGACAGTATTTCAGATATCTTCTGGTAGCATGTTGAATAGTCTATGCCCAGAGATGCTGATACAGTGTTCTGTTATTGTGCCCACGGCATGCGTGCCCTTCACTTTGACCCGGGAAACATGGTTCAGGTAACTTTCACTCCGGTACGTTATGATGTGACTGTACGTTTGAAACAAGGCCCATTAATATATATCATGCATATATTATCATGTATGTATCTTTCTTTCTCCCCCCCCCACCTCCCGGAGTATATATTCAGAACTTTTAGGTGTTTTCAGCAGTTTACGTAATTCAGTGGCACCTTGGAGGCTATAAACAGCGTCTGTATCTTTTCTCCTGCCTTGAATGGTGCCGGTCAGCGAACGCGGGAAAAGACTTTTCGTATGGTATTCACTCAGTGTATATCCACTTGAGCACTTCTCATTTGGCCTGTCTAACGCCAGGTCAAACAACCACTGAAGGGAGTCCTAGGTGTGCCAGGTGTGGGGATGGAAAGGGCAGTGGGGCGGCGACCCCTCCACCCCAGACATTTAAGCCAGGTAATCTGCCTCACTTAGTGGCCGCAGCACCAACCTCAACGCTGTTACTCACACTGATAATCTCTCTTTGTCAACCTCTCGACTTCAAAAAGTCTTGTTCTTCTCCATCCCTCCTCCAGTCTCAAGTTTCTCACGTTATCTAAGACCACCCACATCTCTCCCGTGTTGAAGATTTACTTTACTAACAGATTCAACCAGGACACGGAAAAACGAGACAGGAGTTACCTTGCACAGTGATGCAGCTTGTCTAGAAGTCTGAGACAGGATGACATGTCTATAACAAGCGATGCTCTTCATAGCACTCGTTCTCTCTAGGTTGAAATATTGCTGTATACTAACGGCCCCTTCAAGGCAGACAAAACTGGAGAAATGGAGGATATTCAGAAAACCTTCAAAACTCATTTAACCTTTGTCAAGCACCTAAATTACCGGGAGTGCCTTAAGTACCTTGAATTGTACTCCTTGGAACGTAGGCGAGAAAGGGAAAACTGAAAAGTTATTTGGATATACCGAGAGTTTTAGTTGTCCCAGAGCCCGGCCTTGGGCCAGGATCGTCTGGTGATTATCTGGTCAATCAGGCTGTTGCCTGGTCAAGTCAGTTCCTGATCAACCTGGGTGTTGGGCATACAATGGGGGCAGTGGGTGGTAGTGGTAGTAATAATAGTACAGTGGTAGCAGTAATAATAGTAGTAATAGTAGTAGTAGTAATAGTAGTAATAATAGTGGCAGTAATAGTTGTAGTAATAGTAGTAGTAGTAATAGTAGTAGTAGTAATAGTAGTATAGTATAGTAGCTGAGTGGAAAACAGATTTCAAAGGAGTGGATGTGCCCTTCTGGGGCGTGCGCTTAGGATCCACTACGTGCTACTCTGTCTCGGAGTATGCAGTGCCTGGAATCGCTGGAAACCGATGGTTTCCGTAGCACATTCTCCCCGAGGTCGGTCTCTTGTCCTGATCAACCTCGTAAGAGAGCTCGTTGCTCGTCACCTCCTGGCCATCAGCGCTTACTTACCAGTGAAACCCAGTCTGGGGACGCCCAGTCTAACCTTCACTCTAACTCTAGCGTTGTTGTAGAGAACATCAGTTGTCAAGCCACAGTCTCCCTGTCGGCAGGCGACTGTCTGACTCGTGTCATGGCATCAGCAGCAGAGTTACCGCTTGTACAAAGTATGACGTCACTTTGTCAGCTAACTCGCTCGCTCCTGTTATGGTGTACGTGAGCAGAGCTTTTGAAGGGGATCATGTGCTGGTTGACAACACGTGCCGAGTTAAGGGCCTCTCCCTTGAACCGTCCTTGCACACCGTGCAACGCGGTAAGTTGCAAGTCCTTGTTGTCAACATGCACAGTCGAGAATTTGCCCTGCGGAAGGATACCTCACTTGTCTTCTTGATCTTCAGGGAGGACAGTGATGGCCTCCAGGGATGACAGTTATCTCCAGGGAGGACAGTGATGGCCTCCAGGGATGACAGTGATCTTCAAGGAGGACAGTGATGGCCTCCAGGGATGACAGTTATCTCCAGGGAGGACAGTGATGGCCTCCAGGGATGACAGTGATCTCCAGGGAGGACAGTGATGGCCTCCAGGGATGACAGTGATCTCCAGGAAGGACAGTGATGGCCTCCAGGGATGACAGTTATCTCCAGGGAGGACAGTGATGGCCTCCAGGAATGATAGTTATCTCCAGGGAGGACAGTGATGGCCTCCAGGGATGACAGTTATCTCCAGGGAGGACAGTGATGGCCTCCAGGGATGACAGTGATGGCCTCCAGGGATGACAGTGATGGCCTCCAGGGAGGACAGTGATCTTCAAGGAGGACAGTGATGGCCTCCAGGGATGACAGTTATCTCCAGGGAGGACAGTGATGGCCTCCAGGGATGACAGTGATCTTCAAGGACAGTGATGGCCTCCAAGGATGCCAGTTATCTCCAGGGAGGACAATGATGGCCTCCAGGGATGACAGTTATCTCCAGGGAGGACAGTGATGGCCTCCAGGGATGACAGTGATCTTCAAAGGACAGTGATGGCCTCCAGGGATGACAGTTATCTCCAGGGAGGACACAGTGATGGCCCCCAGGGATGACAGTGATCTCCAGGGAGGACAGTGATGGCCTCCAGGGATGACAGTGATCTCCAG